CCTGAAGATCGTACTCGCGCTCAGTTGCTTATTTGTCTTATTAGACTTAGTAGTGTATGCCTTTCCGACAGAGATATTTTGATGAGCTCATAAATAAAACGGACGATGGGATAAAAAAAATCCGCAAGTCTACGATCATGCTCCAGGGAGCGTAGTATAGTTTTTTCCGAGCGCCAGAACTTTCATCTACTTTTAATGTTATTTTTTCGATTTATCGTCTATTGCATATCCACCTAGAACCTTTTTCTCTAAAAGTAAATGTTTACTATTTTTCCACGCTGGTCTTAGGGCTCTTGGAGAAATCTGATAAAAAGATGTCACTAATTCCCCGCATTCAGGAAGAAGGTAGCGGCGTGCAGAATATCGAAAGAACACATACAGTCAGTGACCGGTCTCATTAAATGTTAATCGGAATTCTGGAGTGTGTTGTCGATTAAGCAGTATTACTTAAGTGGGGCTGTAATATTGACTATCTTGTTGCATAATTCCATAATATTTCCTACACGTCAGGATGTTGGCTTTTTAAAGCACTTGTTTTCGGCCTCCTGCAAGAACCGCTTTCGGTAAAGATGACTACTTGAGCAGTATGTACTTCCTCTATAGATTTTAATGCCCTCATAAATTTGAAAATACATCGCAGAAAACGTGCACAAAATATTCCTCCTGGTACCCATTTGGTAGAAAATTATGTCTTCGAAGAAAGGGTACCTTTTGGTGTTAAAAAGGTTCCTAGTTATGAGATTTTTCAAGAATACGAAGTGCCCATTAGGATAGTATCGTACAATTCAACTTTTTCCATAGAACTTCCTTTTTCAGCACCGTATCCGCCCATTTACTAGGGTTCCTCACTAAATCCGCATCCGTTGCGGAACTTTAAGGGCTTCATATAGTATTTTCTTAATGGCGTAAAGGAATGTGTGTTTTTCTTTACACGGAAAACACGCAGCTCGCAGACTGGAAACCGTAAATAAAGGTGTAACAGCAGACAGAGTTCACAATTGTTCGGAAAAATAAACACTTCTTAAGGCCAAAATATACTCCTTCGTTGAGTATAAAATGAAGAAGACATGATTTGCAATCAAATGGGTATGAGGGAACATATTTTTATGGAGATTTCCTATAAAATATATTGAAATCCACATGGATATCGAAAATCGGTGGAGAGGATGCATAATACTTTAGTTGTCATAAATGCCCAGGCTTTCGAATCCTCCGCGCGACAACAGTCTTCAGTCGTGATCCAGGGTCGGGAATGGGGATACGGACACTTCCAGTACTACAGGAGCTTTTGTGCCAACTTTCAGGGCGTTCCAATCCCTAACCCTCTTGGAACTAATCCAGCCCAAAGTTAACCGTAACCTTAACTCGAACCCCCTCCCCCCATCCTGGAATTCAGAGCAAGGACACCTGTAGTGCGAGTGGTCCATATTCCCGTACCCGATCGCGATTCATTCTCAAAAGATCGAGAAGTTGGACCCCAGAATCCCACGAAATATCGAGTTGCTTTGACAAAAAGACAAAGTAGTCTAGACCAATTAGGATTCCCGCAGAGTGGCAGCTACTTCTCCAATTTCCGCTGTGTCGCACGACACCGGGTGCGAGTTGAGCTCAGTGGCCGCACGGCCTTGGACACTAAGACTGTTCTATAAAGGGCAAATCGCCATGGACATGGTCATCTGAGGGCAAACGCATGCAAAAACGATACCGCAAGCGCACTATCAATGACTGACGCCTGTAGGACTAGACAGACAGTCTGTCGCAAACACAATGGTGTGCACACCTTCAGGCCGAACCACAACGGTCGAAACTCCGAACAATCTGTCACGCCGAGAAGGCGACCAGCGGCACTGCCCATCCGTGCATTCACATGCGGACGCCACTGGTGAGAAATGTTTAGGGCGGGAGGTGGTGGTGGAGAGGACAGAGGTTCCCACAATCGCAACGCCTGGGGAGGCGACGGAGTCAGGTATGTCGTGGGCGCAGCCACTAATGCCCTTTCCATACTACACAGTCCGGTTTTTCTACCATCTCTGAGACTGAATGCCTGCCTGCATCTTAAAACTCGTGTCAATGATTCCGTAGACCGTAGGACGTCTTCGCGCTGAGACGGGCGACTTGGTCACCCGTCAGACGGGTAAAACCTCCCTCAGGGCACATTATAAACCCTCCGGCTGCCGTAAAACACCTCTTGCCGTCTGCCCACTCTCTAGGCGCAAATGCTGGCCAGTATTGCGACCTTCCAGTTACGAACGGTTGGCCGGTGTGGAAACCGAACCAAGTGCCGGCGGTGAAGGTCCAGTTCCTACGGACTTCCTTAGCTACTTGATATCTGAGAAAGGATGCTTACATCATGGAATATAGTGCCTATGGATAAACATTGGTGGTAGGTAATGGTTTTCCGCTCTCCATGTGGGGGTTTTCAGTGTGCGACAGTGGTGTCACATCCTACAGGGGAGCTTCGGTAGGTCATCCACATCCTCAGAGAGGGTTCATTTGATTAAGTGATATGGCCAATGCACACACCACCTTGGAGGCCTGATTAACATCCCTATGGTTGCCATCTACAGAGTTCAGATGGCAAATGGGCATTAACGCCTCGCTTCTTGCTAGCCATCCGAGGTACAGTAAGTGACCGATCTTATGAAAAGCTGGCTGAAATTCTAAAATGCGTTTTCGATTAGGAAGGATTACTTAGACGCGGTTGTAGAACTGATTATCTTGCGGCATAACCCTGCAATATTTCGAAATCGGATGTCAGCTTTTGAATGCACTACTTTTCAATCTCCTATGGAAACCGTACTGAGTAGAAAAAGGCTACTTAAGTAGCATGCATTTTTCCCATCGACTTTCGATGGTCTTACAAATTCAAATATATTTATAGAAAAATTAAAAATATGCTTTCGTTCAGTCGTTTGATAGAGAATCACGCCATCTCTATTTTATATACTTGAAAAAGGAGTATAATTAGGCTTTAAAAAGGTCCAAGTTACGAGATTTTTTAAAACCGCGCAATGTCCATTAGTGCAGCATCTTACCTGTCTGTTTGCTACTGCTCCTCATGAAATGAAAAACATAGTCCGCATCCATTGCAAAGGTTTATGAACTCTATATGAAATCTTTTTAAAGGCCTAGAAGAATAGGTGATTTTCTTTAGCGGAACGCATGCACTTTGTAGATTGAAATCACTGAGCGCTAACGCAACGACTGGTCAAACTCCAAATTATTCGGCAATTAAAAAGCTTTTTAAAAGCTAATTATAAGCCTTTTCGAGTATAAAACATAAAGATGCCGTGATTATCTATCAAACGACTGGAAGAAAGCATATTTGAATTTGCAAGGCCACCAAGAATCGATGGTTAAAGTGCATGCCACCTAAGCAGTCATCGTTTACCGAGTAAGGTTTCTAGAGGAGATTGAAAAGCAGTGTATTCAAAAGCTGACATCCTGCCGAGTCCGAAATATTATGGAATTATGCCGCAAGATAATCAATATTACAACCGCGCCTAAGCAATCCTTCCTAATAGAAAGTGCATTTCAGAATTTCAGCCGACATTTCTTAAGATCGGTCACTCACTGTGCTAACCCCCAGACTGTGGTGGCATGGCCTACAAGTATAATCGAAATCTTCATGCCGGAAGGGACCAGAGATTGTAAACCTATTGGCACTTTAAGAATGTAGTTCTCCGAAAAGGGCTTCAGAGAACGAAATGGATCAGAGACTTTCGGCCACGCCAAGCCCTCGAACCCACAGAAGGGGGCACCTCCTCGCCGAAGAGATAAACCTGGGGAGGGTGCTGCGTGGCTGAATGTGGACCACCCCCCCCCAAGGTGGCATTTAAAAATGAGCGCCGCAAACGCGCAGAGTTCGGGACAGAGCGAATAAAGTGCTTTCGGCGCCACCACAGAGACATGCTTAGATGACCCTCAAGGCGGCGAAAACAGCAAGGGCGTCCACGCCTCCCAACGAGCCGGTTTTCCTTATCTCATCCTTCTCTGCCGCAATCTACCACGGTTACCTTTTCTCAACGGAACCCCAGCGGCCGCCGAAACCGCGGTGGCCCCACCAGGAGCTCCCACCACAGCACTGCCCTCTTCGCCATCTACGGGCTACAACTACGACATTAATCCACCAATAATGCGCTCTGGAGAATCGGATGCATCAATTCAGGTAGACGGAACGAGCTGAAAAAACTCAACGTGACTACGGAGCACAAGGCCTTGCTTCACAGCGCATAGGCCGAAGATCCACTACTAGGATAATACTAGGGTGAAAAAACTCGATGCTGCGGCGTCTGTGGGGGCTCCAAAGCTAGAGAAGTCCATACATTAGACCAAGCCAGCCGGTAGTCGGAAGTGCACCTCGCGTACAAAAGATGAAAAATCGTCGAATATTACGTGTATATCGATGTATACGCGCACTTTGTATAAACGTAACTACAGACTCACGCAAAATATGCTAGCGGCAGTAATAATAATCAATCAGAGTGGAGAGCGGGGAGAGGGACAATCGTTCTTTTGCCAGCGTAAATCGACAGCTCGGCGGACACATAAAAAAATTATAAAGTTTCGGCCCGTTCCAAAAACGAAAAATTAAACGGCATCTTGGTTGGGTTTGGAGAGGGCGGGAATGCTTATACGGCCAGTGATGTACAGTCACTGTCGAGGTCAGACGAGGTCAGTTAATAGGTGTCACTGAGAGCCAAAGTCCGGGCTGTCCGTCGCCCACAGAAGTGAGCACGATATACCTGCCTCTGGGAGTTGGAAGTGATTGGCATCGCATTTGGGGCAGCGCAACCCCTTCGCGCAAGGAGAATGGGGGCGATTTACAGTGGAGGGAACGAGAAGGCACAGTGTAAACGGGAGGATGTGATAAATGGAGTGACACGTATCCTCCTAGTAATCGGCAAAGAGTGCAGGGAGGGCGGATGACTTGGTGTTTCGAGAGCACGTGGAATCGGCGAGGAGCATATGGGAACCCGTCTAGGTAGACCCAGACGCGCCTATGAATCAGCGGCAGGTGGAGTGAGAGGCTGAACGCCGTTTGTGAGTGGCATGCTGACATCCTGTGGACGCAGTGTACTATCCGCAGAATTGGGTTCTCCAATGCTAGAGTTTGTAGTGAGTCTCTTAATGGAAAATGTAGGAAGCTGAGGACTGGCACAATTGGATAGTTGGGACTTTCGCGGAGCCGATGGCTGGGTCTTGTTCACGGGGAAACATGAAGAAGCCGCAGCGATGGCAGAAGCACGGTCTTCGGACAGGTCCGAGTAGGGGATCGACATCATACTCCTACGGAGGGCCCGGATGGCTCCGAATATCTTAACTGCAGGTCCCAACTTCAATTTGAGAACCGACATAAGATCATGCTGTTCCAAACACAATAATGCTGGTCCGTCGATTTCCTGAAACAAGGAAGAAAGAAAATTACGATTAGTGCGACAACACGGTCTCATAGACTTATAGGAGCGGGATTCAGAAAAGGATATACAAGCCGGATTTGACAGTATTTCAACACCCACAGTCAGCAGAAGAAAAGTGCCCTGATTATTTGTTTATGGCGAAGCGCGCAACATACGGCTCTGGCCCTCAACTGACTAGTGATTTTTCTGACAAGGGGTAGGAGATTACGGGGGAGGAGAATCGTTTATGATCTTAAAAATTTTCCTCGAGAATTATGTGCGATATGAAACGCTCTCAATATGCGCTTCCCTTAAGGTAACCGAAAAGGATTAAAAAGAAAAATTCTGCATAAAAAGCAATACGTTTTGTGTTGAGCGAAACAAAAATGCAGGACGTCGCGATCTGCGGCGGACGTCAGGACTTAAGGATGAACTTTACACACACACGCACACAACGCACGGCGTCGAAAATATTCAAAAACAGATGATACAGGACGAAACATCGCCAAGGATGCCTGTCCACGCACGCCTGTGTAAGTATGCGCTCCAACGCGGCTGTGTGAAAAAATAACTACGAACGCACGCCTATCGATAACGGATAAAATGTGTGCTAGAGAGCCCCGTACTCCACCCACTGTTGATGGGTAACAGCCAGATACACATGATGCCTCGAGCCAATATGAATGGGTGAAAGCTCTGTCCGACTCACGTTCTCGGCGAACACAGGAGCCAGACTCTGGCAGCCAGGAAGGGTGGTGATAAATGCAGCAACCATGTCCGGAGTCCATGCATGCGGCCCGCAGAGACCAGCGGCTCTGGCCGCACAGACAGCCGCCTCAGCCTGAGGCAACAGCCGACTGATAAGGTTGGTCTCGCACGCGGCGAGAGCAGCAACAGAAGCCGCCGCCGTGGGGACGGCGGGTGGAACAGAGGTAGCGGCGACAAGAAAAGCGTTGTTACCGCAGGCGGAGTTCGAATCCAGAAAGAGGGAGTTCGAGGCTGCTACCGCGGCGGCGGAGGGACTTGACACCCTAGATACGGAGAACGGATGAGACCCCACCTGCTGGGAGGACGCCTTTTGTCCGTTAAGAGAAGAGATGGCAACGGCAGTGGATGCAGGAAAACCGAAGCCTGCGTAGGATGACCCCACTGATGATTTGGTGTATTTGGAGGAATGGTAGGATTCCTGGGAGTTCGAAGTGGACAGACTTAACCCGGAGCTGTGTTGTGGCAGGGCCGTTGGGAAAGCGAAGGGTGTGCCGCCAACGCCGGCTGCAAGAGGCATGGCGGCAGCGAGAGCCAACGTTTCATCTACTTTGCCAGCATTATCCAGGGGGAAGGTTTCGGGGGTGTTGGGTTCACCAGTGACAGCATGCCCATTTGTTATGCCACCGAGGTGCGCAAGGTATCTAGGAACAGTTTGCTTCGACTTCATTTTCTTCAAATTTGCAGAGGCATCAGTGTTCTGGAGGTAAGCTTCTTTGACTTTCAGATCATTTGCTGTAGATTGACCGGTTGGAAGAGAGAAGGGATCACAATTGGAGTAATTCAATGGGAGGCTAAGTCGAGTCGACCCGTCCACATCTGTCTTTAATACCTGCGGTGGAAATGGTCCCAGGGTGTACTTTCGCGGACGACCTCTTTTGCGTTTAATGGGTCCTAGGCCGGCGGCTGACTGAGAGTTAGGCTGCGCACCGGCATCATTTGAGCCCGGTAGAAGATTTTCGTTAGGGCTGGGTGAATAATTCAGCCCGGTCACCTCGTCACTGTTAGGGAGGGCAGGCAGATTGAGGGCAGAACTGGTCATTATGGTTCAAACAACTCTGTGATTGCTTTGCCCGAGAAAACGATGTCTGTAAGGCAGTTGAGATGACGAAGATTTCCTGTTCAAAGCTAAAAGAGTAGAAAGATTGTTTATAACCAAAGATCCGAGCACCATCCTTCTGCAGTGAAAACGAGTCTGCTGTAACGAGTTCCTGAACACCGCGGAAATCACTTCCGGCTGGTAATGTGCCCTTAAATGGAACTCGTCGCAGACGCCATCAAAGCAAACAACAGTAGTAGTCGCTATCAAGACACAAGTGGATGAAGGGTCGCAGTCCAAATGCGGTGCAGTGTACTTGAACTGTATACGTTGGACGCATAAGTGCATTAACGTTTTTGCACCCAAATCTTTTTCGGCATCGACATCCACGGCCTGACAACCGCCCCCAGACCGAAGCCCGACGAAGAGACGGTCGAAACTTTAGCATGTTTCGACAACAACCAATGCGACTAACTCTATACAGCTATGAGACGTGCAAACACTTTGATAATTGACCTCTTATGAAACATCTGGAAACTAGATTTTTCAGCATTTTTCGATTTTGCAACTGATTTCCCATTAACGCCCGATCACATGGTCTGCATCTAAAAACGCCAACTGCTCCGCCGGGGGCCAGTCAATAAAAAATCGAAATACAGAGCCTAATAGGACGATTAAAAATTATTAATCAGCATTTTAAGGCCCAGGCAAAGAGGGGAGAACGCCACCGACGGAATTAGGAAATGATAAAATAACCAATACCGGGTTGGCGTAATTAACGCACGGGTTTTATACATGCAATCTAAAGAAACACGTTCCAGAGGGCGTTTTCTGGGTCAGAACTTGGCCGCAACCGAAGTAAACAAAATGGGCACCAAAGAGCGGGACTAGAAAAATCCTAGCGGTAGGCGTCGTCTTAAAGCATTTCTGGGGTTTTTGAGTGTCCCAAGTGGCGACTCACCTATGGCAACAGTGCCTTACGGCAAAAATGGCCGCGCGCGATGAGCAAAACATGTATACAAATCAAGGAATTAAAAAAATAAGAATGCAAACATTAGAAGTGATAGCATAAATCAAAGCTTCTCAGAAAAGTCGAAAGACGTAAAAACTTTTATTTCGCGAAATTTATACAAATCAGCGAGCAGCGATGTAGCAGAAATCCGACAGCATGCACAGCAGCACTCCTAAAAAAGAAAGTATAACAAAGATGTTAGCTTAAGAGGATGTCCACAACAAAAGTATTGTAAAGCCCTAAGAGCTTTTTATGGTGGCGAGTAAGGCTGCAAGGTGGCGCGAAGCACGCAAGCACATCGTGGTCGCCGGACAGCAGAACACGAGCGAGATAATTAAGAACAAAGAAATCAATTGATTTGTGTACACTTCACCTTAAGCATTACCTCTAAACGCGCCCACACAGGAGCAGTCGCGCGATAGCGACGGAACATGAACAAGCGCCACGCGCGTGCGCCAACGCGCTACTGCGTTCGCTGCCGTGAGACCACAGGCGCGCGCTAACGCACGTTTATGGGAAGGAGAAAATGAAATTTTAGCCAACAAAAAATCAGTCAGATGGCGAAAAAGAGGTACATAGGTAAGGGCTAAATTAATAAAAATAATTTACGTCATCCCTTACGGCGTGCCACACAATCACACTGCATTTGTACGGGAAAAAGAGATTTCTAGAGGTTGTACACAGTCGGTCCTTATTGAGGATTAAATAGTGGGAGATGTAAAACCGAAAAAATGTTGGGTATTTTTTGAGAGAAATGACGGTCCCGTGGTTTCATGCAGAGGGTAACTGTGATGCGTAACAAGCGCCATCTTTGGTTAAAAAATGCGTTGGATAAAACGTTTCCCTACAAGATGACAATGAACATTCGCTGGGAAATTATAAATTTACGGCAATTAAGTAGGCAGAAAGAGAAACGCCCATTTCCATCCTGCAACAGAAATAAGTGGTCCAGCGCCACTCTCGTATTAATAAGGTTTCTGAATCTGTTTAAAACCGTCCCCATCAGGTTTGAAAAAAACTATAAATCCTAATCTGAATTTTGGATGAGACAGTATTGAGAACTAAAGCAAAAACTAAGATTTATCATTAAATTTTGCGGATCGTAAAAAATTATGTATGCTTCAGAGGCTTTTTCTATCAGATTAGCTGGGACAACTAAATAAATCTAATATGCAGAACATTTAGAATAGGACCAAACGGAAGATTCCGAAAAAAAAATCGATAGCCTAGGCATTAGCCGCATCACGAAAGAATTATGCCGTTTAAAATGCGTCAGAAATCTATTTACCCATTGAAAATGATCAAAATGAGATGACCTCTATTAACCTCTAAAAATTCAATCAACTGTTTAGAAAAAACAGACTTTTGTACGCCTATCAGAACGCTTTCTACTGACCACAGCACACGCAGGTCTAGTTAAAAGGGGCACACCGCATTTTGTAAATGCGATAAAAAAAATTACATTAAAAAACAACGCAAAAAAGACAGTTCAAGAGCCCTATCCATCCTTGGAGGAAAACGAAGTTCGTAACATCGACTACTGAGATACGTTGGTGATATATTCTATTCAAAGTCGGAAATATTACCAAATACGGCAGGAAAATTGCCCTAATGAGCTAAAAAAAATTTGGCTGACAAGAAATTCTTGAACGGGAACTTTTTCCTAGATAGGTCAGTAGGGACTGAAAAGCCTCATTGTAGGGACCTTCGTGCTGACTTAATAAAAAACATTTGTGATTCAATTAGTCTATGAAACGCAGGCGGACGCAGTCTATGGACGCAGGCGGTCTTGACTAGCTTCGTGATTTTTAATTAGGATGAGTCTTATGGTGTGTTTATTTTAGAAGACGTTTGCCCGTTTTTGCATTAACACAATTAAAATTTTTAAGTCGATTAACTTTTCGCTTTTCAAACGCAAGCCCGGGTGATCTAACAGAAGGAAAAAGAAAATACATTTTAGCGGGTCTTGAAACCGGCACTTAAATGCGTGTGGTCATCTCTTTAGTATCGTGTAAGAAAATTCAATAAAATTCTATTTGTACAAAAACATATACTTACCGTTTGCGCCAAGAGGTCGAACCGTCTTAAAGTATGGCTGCCCACACTCATTCGCCTGAAGTCAATCTGAAAGGATATATTTTAAATGTTTTAAAAACATGAAAGAAAGTTAGGTGGAATACGCTTAACGGTGAGCGCTGGTTCTCATTATCTCTCACTACGGACAAAAAGCAATCTTAAGTAGCACAGCAGGGTGTAGGAGTCCACGCGTCAGTGCGCACTAGGCATTGTGCGCTAGGCATCAATTTCTGTACACTAGCCAACCGCATATTTCAAATGTGATTTGAAGTCTCCGCTGTTGGTCGATTCTAGAGCTCGTGATTTAAAAAATTGGCGCGTCGAAACGCACAACAAGCAGAGCGTATCAAACGCGGAGACGCACCAAGAATAGCAGCCTGCGTGCGATGGTGTAAGCACGAGACAGAGTCGTGCGTGTGTACTTGCGCCTGTCTGCAACACGATCACTCACTTTATCAGAGGCGGTGGTGGCGGCGGCGACAGCCACGACTCCAGAGTGCAGCAGAACGTGGTAAATCGATAACCCCTACGAGCTGGCTGCTGAAAGCGGGGTTGCATGTACGCACGCACACGACACACAAAGACACGCTGACGCGTCGTTACTGCCGGACCCATGATGCGGGACCTAGGTGCGCAAGAGCGCATGTTTAGCCGGCACGGCAGTGTGCGCACTTTGTTGACCGAGAGTTTTGATCATTGGCCGGAATCACCACACCGAGGCCAGTGTGGACATGCCTGTCTAGCCGCCAATCAGTTAGACTCAGCCATGGACATGGCGCACACAGATTAGTCACAAAAAAATTCATTGTTTACGGAGGTCCGATTTCCACCCACCCTCGTGTCCTTAATCCAATATTACTATCGGGCTTCCACGCAAGGACCGAAAAAATGCAAAGCCACGTTATGATTAAAAAGCTTCAATCCATAAAAAAAAATGAGTCAAATAGTTAGTTACCAGGCCACTTTTCAAATGAATGCACCCGGAAGCTCTGTCGCGTAGACGACGGGACGCCAAATGAGCGTGCGTGAATCCGTGGTCCACTGAAAAAATCGGAATGAGTAATTTGGTTGGTCAACCAATAAATGTATTAAATGCTATGCGCATTTAATTTCCCTCTTAATCCCCAATCAAGAAATGAACAGAGCGAGGCTTCACTGCGCGAAGCCAACGATCCGTAGTAACATGCCCTCAGAAATGCAGGGAAAGAAAATCCCTGATTGGTGGACAGGCGACTTTTCCGCAGTACAACCTCTATAGCCGTTCTAGAGAAATATGCTCCCTGTGTAGCGCTTCAAAAACGGCCGGTTTGGGGAACAAAATTGGTGGAAAATACGCCAATCCCGATGAAAAGTGCCAGTTTGTTGGTGATAAAAACGGTTTAGGGATCCGAGGTCTTTTAAAAAATCTTGGAAGGGACAAGTCCTGGAATTTATTACCAGCCAAGACGTTAACGACA